GCTTGGGTGCGGGCGCTGTGGCCAACATTAATGGCGGCAAAAATGGCCGCAAAAATGTGGACGAAAAACAAGAAGTGAAGACAATTACCGAACCTTTATATGAGAAATGTATGCAAAACTCAATTAAGTTTTAAAACCATTTTTACTAATAATTTTGTATTCAATCAGATATGAAATCGTTGTCATCGAAGGACTCTTCGGCCGGTCTATTGGTTTTAGCCGAAGGCGGAAACGCTGGGGAGGCTGTGATCGCCACCCGTGAGGGTCACCTCGATGTTAAGGGCGCCTCCGGTTTTAGACTTGGCTCCTATACTGAGGTCTCGATCAACGGTTAAAATTAATTATAATATAAATCCAAATAACAATATTTATAATTACCGGTAATAATAAATTATATTAATTAATAAAACTATTAAAAAGCATAATCTAAGCATTTATTCAATTTAACTGTAATACAAAAGTTATTGATTACTTAAAAGTTTAGTAATCAATTGTATGAATATTAAATTAATTGTTCACTTATATGTTTTTAATATAACATTCTGGTATATTATTTAACATAAAATTTAATATACCATGGTAAAATTCTTATTATTAATACAGTAATAGTTGTATTTAATTAAAAATTAAAATTATAAATTGATAATAAATGTCATAACCAGACACTAGAAGGCGTGCAATCACTTCATGAATGGTATAAAAAGCACGTGTTTTATAGCATTGGTTTGTGTTTACATTTGTTTTGCAAATCATTGCATCATTTGATCCCAAAAGCCAAAGCCATTCATACGAGACAATCCGATGGACGCGTTGCCAGTAATCAAGACATTCAAGTCTTTACGGCCAGTGATGGCCAACGAGAGGGTGAAGAGTCGACTGCGGCTGTTGTGTGTCTTCGGCTTCAATGGGTCGGAGATAATCTTCGCCACCGATGGCCCCGAAGACAAGGTGTACGGCTTGGGTGACAACCAGTGCGGGTGTCTGGGCCTCGGGATCGACACCCGGAAGCTAACGGTTCCCAAACTGAACCCACACCTGACCGGCAAACGTCTGGTCACTATTA